GATTGGCAAGCACCGAAACTGCAACACGCAGGTCATTATCCACGGCTGAAAACTTTGAGGATGATAATTCCCAAATGGACATTGAAGACAGAGAGGCACCTGGAGTTTTCCAGGATGTGTACATCTCTCTGTCAGAGGAAGCTGCCACACAACTGAAAGATGTTGCTAAGAATAACAGGTTATTTGATTCACTTGAAAATGCAGAAAAGAATGTCGTTGAAATGGGGCAGACGTACGTTACCAAGCACTATGATACATCCGCTGCACAAATTACATCTAAAAATAATGACAATGACATAATAGAGGTGGGTAAAATTTCACTGTTATACTCTGAAAATAAAAGAGCTTGCTTCGACAAGATAACTAACATCAAGTTTAAGGCAGAATATTCTAATGACAGTAGTTCCGTACCTCACAGTGATCTACTAATTACGGACCAACCTCACGCAGTAAATGCTGACCGTGCAATCAATTCCTTGCCTCCATATCTCAATAACGAAATTCATTCCACACTCTCTGTTCATTCTCTTGTTCAAAATAAAAATCCCGTTACAATTGACTCAACTATCACGCTTGCTGGAGCCGAAGAACTTATTTTTAGTTCACGGGATGCTCGACGTTCCGGCGTCATTTCTGCATCCTGCGCAGACCGACTCTACTACCTTACACAAAATCTTGTATTATCTTCTTCAAGTGGCGGGGAAGTTTTAAAGTCCATGCAAAAATACAGCTTTGTTGAGAACATACAAAACAGCTGTGAAATATGCAGCAACGATAGATCTTTCAGAAATTCTTCATCAAAGTCTGATGCTCTGAAAAATTGCAATGATTCCGTGTGTAGTCCGAATGACTTGTTACTTGATAAATTATCAAGCAATCAAGAAGGCGGCCGGAAAAATTCGCAGCACTTATCCGAAGATTCTGAATTGAAAACGCCATTAAATAACCTCATTAACGAAGAGAAACGCGATGTTTCCAAGGATTCGGTAATGGGACCAAGTCATGTGGACAATAATTCGATGGCTGTTCACAAATCAGGTACGTCGAACGGTGTCCATTTATAGTACTGTAACATTCTGAGATCTATTTCATGTAATAGTCTTTTGCTTGATAATTTAATTATCATTATCATGAGGCTTTTTGGAGTGAAGTTGGCATTATTCGAATTTCAGTTTTACTGTGAACTTTTCTGTATGTTTGTTTTATAAATACATTTTCAAGTTTTCCTAAATTAATGTGTGGATATGTGCGCCTGCTCATTTATCATTTCGACCTTCGAAACTGATTTAATCAGGCTTCGATAGAGCCTGATTTAATGATCACAGTACGTTTTGTAAATGTATTAAAATAGTAAATATGGTAAAATAGTAAATATATTGTAATAATAAATATATTAAAATAGTAAATATGTTTTGAAATAGTATATATATATATATATTCTCAACCTAAATTTCAGGTTATCTTGGTGCCATGTACTTCGGTATAGAAGATGCAAGCAGTTCAGAATGCGACTCAGGTTCGGATGAAGAAGTCGAACTTTTTACTGGAGCACCGTCAGGATGCAATAAGGGCTGTACATTCCAGACCCAGCTTTCAAATGAAAATATCACCAACTTCTATGAGGATGATAAAGCTGTTAACAGAATCACAACAGATTTTGACAAAATTAGTGTAGAAGCACAATCGGAATCAGTGCGAACGACAGTTTTTCCCTTCTATGAAAAGGCTGACGTGCCAAGGGTTCTTACCCCAGATGAATGTTCCGCGTTTAAGAATGTGTTAGCGCAGGAAAATTCTGCGTATTTGGATGGGATCGTGAGTGGTAATAGTTTCCAAGAAAGTCGCTACAACTCAAGTTTAATGCCTTCGACTCATCATGGATTGCTAATCAGCGATTCATCATTGTGGCAAGGTAAGTAAAAGAATCAGAATGTGGTGACCATGCGTAAATCAAAAAGATAATAATTATATGAAATAATTCACAATAAGATTCAGCCTGCATTTTATGAGTGGCAAGTTATTTAACAGAACTTTCAATTTTGTACCATATGTTGAAAAAAAATAACGAAAAATGCAGCGACGAAACGTTCGTGTGATAGAATAAATGACTCTTGATTCTTTCAATTGGGGTGCCCAAAATTAAATAATACTGGGACTCCTAAACTGGTTTTACATCCAAATGCAATATTGAATATTTTGTTGGCATTTAAGTGAGGCTCGGTTAGCACATTGCATAAAATATGTACAACTAGAATTTATCATTTGACATAACAATCTTTATAACGGATTGCCTTATCGGAGTGTCGGCACATCCGGGACGGTGATCGTAGCCCATGTTTCTATTTATAAACAAAAATAAACAAAATTATAATTAAGAAGCAATATTTTTCATGGCCATAGGCAGTTGATTTACTGTTCATTCGATTTTATTTCGTGCGCTGTACTAATTATTAAAACTTATGACAATTGGAGGTCTAAGCAACGTAATATATTCTAAAAAAAAACAACATGCATATTTTTTGCCATTAGTATGGATGCACTTTTCAACTAGCTTCACAATTAATCAGAGAAATCTGCTGCAAGGTAGATATTTTGATCGAAGTTAAGTCTCTTAATTATTACATTTATTTAACAGCATACACTTGTATTAATATCAATAGCGCAGTATTTGTTTCCTTTATATATTGATGAACGATAACAAACAGCATATAAGCTTAATTTATCGTAAGACAATAAAAGTCGAATACTCACTTTAATCAACACTAAATATTAGCAATTACCATGAACTCCCCGGATAGACATCTGATAAAGAATGCGTGGAAATTAAAAGCGCGTGAAAATAAATCATAAGATCGTAGGTCGTGATCAACTTTGAGGAAGCGAACACAAATTGATCAGGAATCTGTGAGAAACAGCACATGCAGCTGCGCTGGCGCGCTGCCCAGCCCCGCCCCTTCGTGGTACCTCGCTTCAGTGTTACCAACCACAGAAAGTTCTGTATCTCTGCTACCTTTTCCTAACGTCAAGAAATTTTCAACCATTTCTGAAACTTCAATAAAATATTGAGTTGGATAAATTTTTATTATGTTGGTCGAGGAGTAAGGAAATGAATGTGAAATTTTGTCAGCTAGCTAATTAAACTTCTATCAAAATTCCCTTACACAAAAATATTGACACCGTATGAAAATTGTTAATAGGTTGCATTTTTCATTATTTAAAAGTTCTAAAAGTAATATATCAGTAGATAATGTGCTTTGATTTGAAAAGTGCGTATGAACTCATACTATTTAAGATTGTACTTTAATTTTACTAAATCACATAGGCTGTGGGATGACAATTTCATGAATGAAATGTGGGATGAATGTGGGATGACAATTTCTGAAGTTTATTGAAAAAACTCTGTGGTTTCATGAAAAGTTGTAAGCTATAACCTCGAGTCGGCAATACTATTTCTGCGTCAGTCTTGCCACTGCAGCGCGCGTCGCTCGCACGAGCCTCTGTCAGCTCAGTGCATGCGGTCCTCGGGCAAGAGATTGATTCTTTCTCGCGAATTCGGTTAATTCATTTAACTTAATAATGTGTGTGGAAAACAATAGCATACACATAAAGATCCGTCCGCGTGGGTTCAATCGTTATGATACCGCTGACTACTGGAATTTTGAGCAATAATATGAAGAATATATATTCAGATAGGTCGGAAAAATTTTTTTAGTAATGAATTCTGAGAAGTTCAAACGTTAAGGATGAAAGTTTATAAACAAGAGAAAAGTTATAAGAAAATATCATGTTGTAAATATTTCGTTGGTGCAGGTAGCGCGAAGTTTGCAAAATATAGGCATATATAAAAGCACGAAAATTGAATCTGTTTCAGTAACTGGTGAAAACGTTCGATTTTACGTTAGAAAAATAAGCACTGCGACAGCATTAAATCGAACTCAATGTGCCTATTCTGAGGCACTGTTTTAATTTATATTGAACTCAAACAGATTTATTATTCGTATTCCCTAGTTCGTATCAACGATCATGACGTTTGCAAACGTCTTTGCGAAAATTGTGATGTATGACTGGACTAAATTTCAGTAAAATTATTTCTATTTTTTATAAATTCATGTAGTTTGTATCCATTGCATCATTTCGCGTACGAATTAAATTAGTGAAACTTCAACCAGAAAAAAACTTCTCCCCTCAGAAATTGAAGCTCCTACCGTATTTTTTACATCGCTGAAATGGCAATATCTTTTTATGTTATTCAAGTAATTTTGCTATTTTATAACATGCTGAACATTTCCCTCCAATATTGTGATTTTTCTTGTGAATGATTCTTTTTCCTTGTACCTAAATGCTCAATTTCACATGGTCTGACATAGATTGATACAAGATCAATTGTGTCATATGTTCTGATACAATTATCTTTTGTATATAATCATAGTTCTATGTCAGAGGGAAAAAATTAAAACTTACGATTATCAAACCCCATTTCTTAATAAACAAGCCTTATTTCATGATTTTCCTATCGTTTTGGATTGTCAATCTATAGGCAGAGCTGGGCAGCGCAACTTTGAAATGTAGCGGCCGCTACCGCTACCACTAAATGCAATTGTAGCGGGCGCTACCGCTACCGCTACAATTGCTTAAACGTAGCGCGCTACTGCCCACCTCTGGACTAACAACTAACATGTTGACACTAGTAACAGGCTGAGGTTGACAACATTACATTTACACCGAAATCTATCGTACAGTTTTGTTCTCTAATTTTAATTATGTATATATCATGCTGGTTTTTAAATAATATTTAATACTATTAAGTAAAATCTAAAGGCCTTATCTGTAAATGTAGCGGTAAAACCTCGTATCGCTACTCAAATATGTAGCGGGCGCTACCGCTACCGCTGCAATTGATTAAATGTAGCGCCGCTACCGCTACCGCTACTGAAAGTGTAGCGGCCGCTACATGTAGCGCGCTACTGCCCACCTCTGTCTATGGGTTTGTAAATGTTGTGCAGGGATTTCAGCTCTACCGAATTAAGATATACGCAATAACATGAATATATATAGGTTCAATGTGCACTTGGTGATTTCAGTTGCTTATTCCAATGATTTACGATCCGAAAGTTCAGAGAAGTTTATTTCTTAATTATATCGAATGTAATAATCGCGAGTTTGATTGAATTGTCCTATTGCATACAAGTTTCAATATCAGCTAGAAATTCATATCCAGCGTAGTTTTCATGTCTTGTTGAATTTTGGCTGTACGAGAAACTTGAAGTTATCGAAAAAAACTTCATTGGATTCAGTGAAGATAAATACATCATTGAAATTGCGGTGTACTAACCTAATATTGCAAATCTTGGATCAATTTTAAAGATTATGACAATAATTTCAGTGGATGAGTGAAACAATCACAATTATCGTATACTAAGTAAGATGGTCGGCCAGATGTTGCTGGAGGACGAGTACGTCATAAATGTCAAGGTGCGGCGGCCAATCGATGGCCCGTGTCCTCCACCGCCGACGTTCACCGTCGCCTGTCACGACGCAAGAACTTCTGAGTTTGATGTCACAGATTACCGCGACCTGCAACGTGGCTTACTTCCTCACGACAAGTTTGCCCTTCCTGCTACCGAATACATTGGAGCCTTCACAATAGGTCCCGACAAACAGGACAAGGTCGGTTTCAACGGCAACTCACTGAAGCCCATAGAATGGAAGACTCAATACGCTCCTCCAGAAGACCAATGGGACTTCAAAAAGCACACAAGTGTTACGATGAGGCCAGGAAATCGGAAGATTTACACTGAAGATTCATCACAAGAAAAATGCTTGAAAGATCCACCCGACAGTGGGGCACTTCGCTCGCTGCCACAGGTCAAAGTTTACGGAGATGACATGAGCCTTATAGCCACTAACGTCTTTAAAGCTCCGCCTAAGGATCAAGAATCAAAGCCCAGTCAGACAGGGTCACTATACGTCGAAAGAATTGCAGATCATTGTAAGTCGACCAGCGGGGAACTTTACGTTCCTCCAGTACAGGAAGCTAAGCTCAAGGATAGTAAGATTGGACAGGCAGCCATGAGAGGGAACTCTCGTAGAACAGAATCTGAAAGAATTCTTGCTAAAATGAATAAGAAATCATTCCCTTCCATTGTCCAGAAACCACTTAATCCACAAGCCAGAGAAAATTTGAGTTGCATTCTTGAAAATGAAGTCGTTAATGGCAAAAATGAGATGTACGAATCTTACCCTCGACTGTCTCTCCCATACAACGCTCCGGCTGAGAAAGCTCCTTTAAAGTTTCCAACACCTCAAGAATGCACGCGGCATCCATGTCCTCGTTGGAATCAACTGAACAATTCAGTTCACTTGTCTCAGTCATCTACACTTTTCCCCACAACTCCTGCTGGAAAAACACGTCACCAATCTTTCAACGTTCCTCCATCTCGCTCAGATTCATCGAGCAGCCTTCCCACCAATCTGACTGACTGTCAACCGCATTACTCCTCAGTTTTCCCAGGAATGTCTTGCCAACTTGGATCATCGAATTCTTTCACATTTCATAACGGACATTGGGAACAGGAGTCGACTGATGAAGAATACAGCGAAGGAATCGAGTTTTTTCGTACGCCGAATTCTATGAGGAACCGGTCTCCTTCTTCCCGTAATGATCACTCAGAGCTTCCAATTCTGCCGTCGATGGGCGGTCAACCTCCGGGAGAGCAAAGTAGGTTTCATGATCGTCGATCCCCTTTTGACCATAAACATTCAACGCCTGACAACTACATGAGAAATAAGTTTGACCATGCGTCTCTACTGTCAGCAAGTAACGCTGAACAGTCTTACTTTGACGGCGAATACGCAATATCTAGCGCTACTGTCAGTGACAGTAGTCCCGAGAGGTGTGTTGAAAGCTCTCTGCATGGTAAGCCCCAAAGGTACTGCGAAAAGTCTTTTTCTTTTGATAACCATCATTACTTTGTTCAACCGACCAATCAAAGTCATAAAAATCCATATACAGAATCGAGGAATACACCAACTGGCTCAATTCTTGGAAGAAATGCAAAATACGGTTTACCAGAATATTATCAGAAGTCTGAATCGATGATCGACTTGGATCATGAAAAGACCAAGTCACCGCAGCACATTCGTTTCGCCAACCAAGGTGCAGTAGGACTTGGTCAGAAAGAGAACTTTTCTCGGAACAAAACGTCACGCGGCAAAGCGTGTGATTTATTTTTACTAGAACCTGTGCCTGCACGAAGTTGTTACTCAGGAGGACCTTTGCCACGTATATCTCTTATGGCACCAGCTGGCAGTGCGCATCAGCAGCTGGCACAGAATCACCATCTGCCTCCCACACGGACATATTTCCCTAAAGATGTATACCGCCAGCGCTGCGCGGAGTCACGAGTCAGGTTCCAAGGTTAGTGGAACTTTGTGTGAAATCACGCCTAACCGAATTATTAATGTAGCGCTAGACCATTTCTAAAACTGATTTGAAAGTGTGAATTGAATAGATCGGTGAGCTGTTTTTCTGCAAACTAATTGATTGCTTTATAGCAAGAATACAATTAAACCAAAGTAATACATAGTTTATTTGGTAGATGGGATAAAACATCAATGTTCATAATTTTTCTATCTGTTAATCTTGCAATAAGCGGGCTATACTTTTTCCATAGTATCACTTCGAAATTGAACAAATTTCACGCAATTCAATTGAAAACTTTCATATATTGCATAATTAGAATGAAATAATATAAGTACGGGATTGTTTTTCTGTAATTAAAGCAATCAAGTATATCTATTTTTAATCATTTAAGGGTCTTTCTTGACGATGAATTACAAGAAAAAAACAACTTGTTACGAAATACGAGCGTGATCTGCAGCCTGTACAGTTCATTAACATCGATGACAGGAGGCATCCGCGCCATGATATTATGCACTACACAAATATTCATCTCAGGTGATCAATTCCCTTTTGTTTTCTTGATCATTCTTAAAAGAAATCTTATGAAAAATATAGACTTTCAGATGAGGTTTTACTGTCTTTACTGTTAATTTGATTGGACTTCTATAGGATGAGGTGGCTCCAGTGCAATCACTGCGCTATTCTTGGCAGCGTGGTGCTGAAAGCAGTTCCGCTTCACCTGCAATGAAACTTTGCTGCTGAAGTCTGCAGTTCACAGCGAGCAGAATCATCGAATTTGTTGATTAGTTCCGCATAACTGATATCGTATGCTGGCATATGCGAATGAGGCCGTGTATTATTAACTATTGTAATGTAGCAACGAACTATACTCTTAAGTCCTGTGTTAAATTTCATCTTGTTCATTTAAAATCACTTATGTTCAAGATCCAATCAAATAGTTCTGAATGCAATTATTAGCTTTTTCACTTACTAGGAATTGAATTCTTACTCTTTATTCGTTACTCCCTGCATTTCAAAGCCATTGCATTCGTAACTTGGAAAATATATTTCTTTATTGGTTCCAATTTGTTTGTGGAACTTGATTCCGTTTTTCCGTTTTTGTGTCCAACTATTTTTTTACCTTTCTTGAATTTTCAGAGCGGAAAATGTTCAAATTTCTCTTATAATTTCAAATTAAACATTTTTCGAATTGTTATCTCTGCATCTTTGCGCAAACAAATCCATATTTCCAAAAATTTTGAGTTCTCGGTCAAAACTCGCGTTGTGGCATGTACAAATTCCTGTACCTGACATTGTTGCTGCCGTTATAACTTCCATTCTGGCCGTGATTGGCCAATTTTTGCCGGTAGCTATGCTACAAAATATCAACTTCTCGACGCAATGATTCCCGGAACGCAGTGTCCCTTGATTATTCCGGCGAGTTTGGTGCGGATACCAACCGTGCCAGGGTTATGGTTAAAGTTACCGGATGCTCGCGAACAAATTACGAAAATTATGCCAAAACTCTATTGAGTTCCATGGCTTGGTAGAAATTTCATCCTCCGTGGATTTGATTAAAAATTTTGTGCACCTTTTCTCATATTAAAAGCTATTGGTAAATGGCCTTCCGTCGTAAGGAGTTAACCAGGCACATATTCGCTGTCAAATATAGTTACAAGGCTAATAATCTTTCTAGATGGTTTCATTTTTTAACGGTAGAATTTTCATTGGAATTATGCAAAATAAATCACTTAACTGAAGGGCTTGCGTTCTTTAGATATCTTACAATCTGGTTTGCCTCATAGTTAAATAATTATTTCAATATTTATTGTCCTATGAATAACACGCGTAAAATGAGGCTGCCCTGCCTGTACCCAAACATTAGTAGCAATCACCGTAGAGTTTCTGAGTTACGATTAGAAAATTATTTTAAGGGAGACTGTATTTGATTTTTACTTATGAGTTAATGTGAGTAATGATGTTTGACTTGATACCTGTTTGATACCTGATGTTTCATGAAATACACGGTCAATAAGCTCCAGAAAAACGCATCTTCTATCACTGGCATCCTCTAACTAAAGAATCTAAAGGGAATTATTTGCAAGGAGTATCACTTCGCCAAGAGATACATGACATTTTTAATCGTTAATAAAAAATCATTTTTAAGGAAAATGAATTGAATTTAAATAGTTTCATAAAATTATTATTCGAACTAACAGTCATAACTTACATTTTTGATTGGATTATTGTGCCTTGTGCCCATCTAAAGGATAAAAAATACTTGAATCATAATCATCATTAACTGATGGATTTGAAGTGCTTTTAGCAACTGCTTGGAAGACAAAATTGATGTTGACAAGGCTCAGAGAATTAGGGTAATCAGGAGGTTGATGCAGGAAAGATTTTACAAATTTATTCGGTCGTTATAGAAGGTGAGTGACAGGAATTACGGAGGACTGGCCGGCAAAATCAGAAGCCAAGAGAAGCAGCTAATAAAGAAAAAAATACATGAATGAATATTGAGGTGCTCTTCATGTATACGTGAAAGCCATAGGTTAATTCACAAAACACACAAGGAAACCTGGCAACCCTTTGTGAGCGCTTCTTCTTTTGAAAAACTCTTCTGATTCTCAATTAGGCTCTGGCTTGCGATGTTTCCATACATTTAGGAGAGCGATTTTGAGCTAATTAATTAATGAGTTACGGAATAATATTGATTATATGAGTTACGGAATGATATTATTTTGTTACTACCAGAGCATAAAACTATTACAAAATTGTTGGAAAAATTATTGATATGATTAACTGGCTTACGACGCTGATTACATTTACTTTTATTTAGTCTATTTGACGTAGATCGTAAGCCAGGATTCACAAGTAACGTACTACCTAATTAAGGGATTAAAATATATAGGAACGCTGCCTCAATCTAAAATCTCTTGAATCACTACAGATGTGACAAATTAGAATTTTCAATTATTGCGAAATCATCTATTGTGATTCATTCTGAATCCAGAACGAACCTCCATCAGACAACACTATACCAGAGCCGCGCTCATAAATTGCTGCAATGAACATCCGACATCTGGCAACACTCGACTAAAACAGCGCTGTAAAATTACATCAATTATCCGCTTATATATGGCAACATTAGACAAACCTATAAAATTAATTTATTTATGGTGCGGTGGCGCCAGGTTACGATGTAAGCCTCTTAAAATAATACATGGACTTTCGAATTCTCCATGGAATTAAGTTTCATTGTCATTTAAAGTTAAACTAATTATTTTTAAAAAGAAGACTTTTTAAACCCCATTTTAACCTAAAATTATTGTCATCTAACTACCGTTTCGGAGTTCGAAGGAAATTTCCATAAATAAGTAAACATTCTCAACTAGATCAAACCAGAAAAATTAGATCTCTATTTCAACCCTATGCCCTGTTATGCTACGCTGAATGATTCCACAATTAAATAGAATTCCAGACTCGTGTAATATCCATTCACGATATGTTGTCTGGGCACGCGCTCGTATTGCCTTCATATATATAACCATCGAACGAACGTACTAACATACCCCTCTGCCGCAATCACATGTTTAATAGTTTATTTTGTGATCATATATTCTTGTATTCGTCAATATTTATGACTATGCGTTGACAGATGCTAGTCGCCGTCCGCATTTCAACCACAAATTAAAATTTGACTGATCATGAGCTAGAATATGAGGATTTTGAGCTTCCAAGCTTCTGTTATCGACGTATGCGTGGTGACCTCATTGAAGTTTTCAACTATATTCATGGTTTATACAAGATCCCAGAAGGATTACTGGAATTTGAAACAAGAACCAACAGCCATGGGCTATAACTCCTATAAGCCTATAAACTGAAAAAACTGCTTGCAACTCATCGACGCTACAACATTTCTTCTCGCTTCGAGTCACCGACATGTGGAATAGCCTCTCTGATTTGAATTTTCATGTACTATCGAAAGCCTAATTCGCCGACTGGAGAAAAACAATAAGAAAATTGTTAATAAGAAATACCCTCTGGTACGCGATGAAACCCGATTTATAGAACAACTTCTGCCGTACTACATCAATGTTCATCTATTATTCATGAAGCTTTTCGAAATTCTGCAATATCATCAATAAGTGAAACTATCGTTCATGTTGTAAAAAAATATAACTGAGTACTCACTGCAGTGAGTGACAGAGAGCTCATTTTCTCGTCGACGAAAACTTGAAGTCACGGACTCACGGACGGACAGACAGACGGACATGCCGAGCACAATAGCGCCTTTTTAGCGCATTCTCTCATTTATGGAAAAAATGCACTATTGTGCTCGCCATGTCCATCCGTCCGTCTGTCTGTCTGTCCGTCCGTCCATGACTTCACGTTTTCGTCGACGAGAAAATGCGTTCTCTGTCACTCACTGCATTGAGTACCGAGTTATATTTTTTTCCATAAATGAGAAAATGCGCTAATCATTGATTGAACGAAAACTTCGAGGTATTTATTGTTTTGTTGAATTTCAACTGAATTTGCAGCGAAAAAGAATTAACTTTACAATAAAAAAATCAGTGTTTTGTGGGTAGAGCCCTTCATTTAGAAAAGTTTGATTGAAAAAAATGTCATTTTACAACACTTCTCTTTAACTTCACTTGTTGTTTCTTGCTTGTTTGTTTGTTTGTTTGTCTGCTACAAATCTTATAATCGAAATTTAACAAACTTCTACTTTTCCTATTGATCTGAAATTCTGCACACTTGCGTAAAGTTGGAGACAATGCGTAAAGTTGGAGACAATCAATTGACAAAATCAATAATTTCAAAAATAATTTTTTTAATATTAAAAAAATTCGAAAAAATTATTTTGTGTGCTACAAATCTTATAATCAATATTTAACACACTTCTACCTGTCCAATCGATCTGAAATTTGCACACTTGCGTAAAGTCGGAGAAAATGCTTGAATCAACTGACAAAATAAATAATTTTGAAACTTCAACTTTTTTTTAT